AGGGGACACTTTATGTACAGAGGAGCAAGGATAAAAATTACGCCCAAATTCTCAGAAGCTGAGTAAACAAGAAAGGATAGCATAAAATATTTAAAGTGTTGAAAAATGAAATCCACGAACCTAGAATCCTGCGCCCTGCAAATTATCCTTCAAAAGTGAAGGAGAGAAAAAAAAAAAAGAGAAAAAAAAGTGAAGGAGAAATAGACTTTCTGAGACAAAAACCGCTGCCAATAGTTCTGAAGAAATGTTGAAAAAAGTTCTTCAGAGAAAAGAGAAATGAGTTACAAACTTAAGTCTACATAAAAAAGGAAGCTCATCAGAGATGGACTATGTGAAGGTAAAATAAAAATGTTTATTTTTCTTATTCTTTTTTTTTTTTGAGAGTTTTTTGCTATAGGGTGCGTGTGCTTACCAGAAAGACAGAGACAGAGAGACAGAAAGCGAGAAATCACCCCCCAGGGAGGATGGTCATGCTGCAATCCCTTCTCCTCCATTCTCCTCTCAGGATCTTGGGCACACACACACACATGCCCGGCGTGAGTTTAAGCCACCGGGTCCGGGACTTGAACTGCAGTCCACTACATGGGAGTCAAGCAACATAGTCATTACACCAACTGCTGGTCCCTCTTAATTGCTATAATAGATATTAGGAAGTTCAAAATGATAGGAACAAAATCCTACATAAATATACAAAAAAATTAGAAATTTTCATTATAATTGTTTTGTTATGCACTACCCATATAGTAATTTAGTGTTATTTGAAAAGGGACTTGGATAGCTGGTAAGTGTACATCACAAACTCTAAGGCAATCACTAAAGAAAAAAGAAAGAAAATTAAAGTGTATAAAATGTTTAATTAAAACTCCAAAAGCGGGGCCAGCCAGTGGCATGGTGGTGAAGACACTGAGCTCCCACATGGGTGACCATAGTTTGAGTCCCAGACCTGGCAGCTTTTTTTCTCACTTTCCCTCTCTTTCTCTGGTCAAATTAAAAACTAATAATAATAGATAACCAAAAAAATAATTTGTTAGAGGTTTTTTAGCCTTAGGGTCCATGTGCTGGTGGGAGAAAGAGACAGAGCGAGAGGAAAAGTGAGAAATCACTTCCCAGGGAGGATGGCCACACTGCAATCCCTGTTCCTCCATTCTCCTCCTGGGATCTTGAGCATGTACATATACATATCTGGTGTGAGTTTCAAGCCACCAGGTCCAGGACTCAAACCACAGTCATCCATATGGGAGTCCAGTGACATATCCGCCTATGCCATCTGCTGGCCCATAAGTAATTCTTTAAAAAAAGAAAAGCTACAGAATGACCCAGCTGTGGTGGTATGTGCTGCTAAAGTGTTGTGCTCCACAGGCTGGAGCCACATGGAGCTCTGGTTCAACTCCCAGTCCTGTAAGCCCAGTTAGGTGGGAGGCTGAGGCAGGGAAATTGCTTTCAGTGAGACTGTCTTAACAACAACAACCAAACCAAACAAAACAAACACCCATAAAAGGCAAAAAAAAAAAAAAAAAAGGAAGACAAAAACAGAAACAAAGAACAAGAGCAACAAATAGAGAAATAGTAAAAAAAAATATGGTGGACAGTAATCCATCTATTTCAATAATCACTTTGAATATCAATGGTCTAAATGCCAGTTCTGGAACTTGAACCACAGTCAACTACATGGAAGTCCAGCAACATAACTATTATGCCATCTGCTGGCCCCCAGAAGCTGATTTTTTTAAAATTATTTATTTATTTAATTCCATTTGTTATTATTATTTCTTTAATTTGACCAGACAGAGAGAGAGAAAAGGAAAGCAAGCAAGCCACCAGATCCAGTACTCAAACCATGGTCAGTCATGTGGGAATCCAGTGCCTTTAATCATCATGCCACCTGCCAGACCCCAGAAGCTGATTCTTAAAATAAACCTAGTTATGGGGCCAGAGGTGGTGTGGAGTTTAAGGGAACTGGATCCAAAGTGACCAACTGTGCATTTCGAGTTTCGGATCCAGCGGTTTGAAAACACGCCATGTGTTTGTGTCTGAAGCCCGAAAGTACCAAGAAGAGAATGAGGAGGAGGGATTGTGGCGTGGCCATCACCCTGGGGGTTGATTTTTCACTTTCTCTCTTTCTCTCTCCAGTGGACACATGCCCTAGAACAAAAACTATTTAAAAGAACAAACAAACAAACAAAACTTAGGTGACAAAAAGGACATGGACTTCAAAATCCTGGAGGTCGCACTGCAATTCTCCTGCTGGCGCTTGCCAGAGGGTCTCTACTATCTGCCAATGTTCCTCCAATGCTTTAAACATCACCACCTCTGCTGGATCCTGAGGGCAAAGCCAGGGTAGCATTCATTACAGCCTGGGGACCACTTGAATTAGTATCCTCTCGGCTTGAAATAGGACGTATCTAAAATACCCTAAGCCTAATATGTGTTGTGCTTCTTTCTTGTGGTGGATGATACAAACTGCAGCAATTCATATCTCACTTGAAGGAGATATTTCATCATATTCCAGACCACTGAGCCCTCCAGAAACTTCACTGGTGGGTCCCCGCATTTTTGTGGGTTTATCTCCTGCCCTCTAGTTTCTATCTGTTTTACCGGGCACGTAAAGTAGTTGATACTTCCTGTTCTTCAGGTACAATCAACATAATATCATCAACATAGTGGACCACTGTGATGCGTTATGGCCTGTCAAGATAATCAAGCTCCCTGCAGATAATACTGTAGGAGAACTGACCTGCCCCTGAGTCAACACTATGAGGGCCTACTGTTCACGCTGCCAGTACAAGCAAACTGCTTCAGGTGGTCCCTGCAAATCGGTTTGGAGAAAAGGCCTTAGTCAGACCAGTAACTGCATCCTATGGTCCAGAGGCCATGCTGATTTCTCCAGCAGGGACACCTCACCTGGCACAACAGCTACAGATGACACCTTAGGCTGATTACATTTGCAATAGTTCACCGTCTCCAAAGTCCACGTGACTTCTGCCCAGGCCAAAGTGGCCAGTTAAATGGGCTTGTGAAAGGATCACAGCCCCACTTATTTCAACTCTGTGACGGTGGCACCAATCTCTGAAGTTCTCTTAGGGATGCAACATTGTGTCTTGGTAAGAGGGCATTCTAGGGACTTCTATCTTATGGTCCTTATAATCAGAATGATCCTTATCCCACATGTAAGAGAGCAAGTGATGGGATGCAGCCCGTGAGCAAGTACACTTGTTTCAGTCAGACACCCAGGAAGCAAAAAACAATGTCAGAGAGCATCTGTGCACCAACTGAGTCACCTCGAGTTGAGACTTCTAAATTAAGACTCAGCCCTCACAAATCCCAGCTGCGACTGGTGACACTGTGCCATTCTGGGTTTGTGGCAATCAGTTCCAATTCAGAAGCAGTATCTAACAGTCCCCAAGGGATCTCCTTCTCTTCCAACTTGCTCCACTGAGCTTGGAGCAGGGTGGACATATACCTGAGTTGTCTTGCACTCAGAGGGAGGTTTACCTGGGTCGCCAGAGCTAAAGGCAGCGCCCTGTGCAGGTGCGTAGGAGATGCATAAGTGGATTCCAAACTATTTTTAACCCCTACAGGAGAGGCTGAAGCTTGTGTGTGTGTGTGTGTATGCTTTATAAAGGGTAAACCAAGCCCAGGTGGCCACCTTGGGAAGCTGGTATGACTTGCAGAAATGGCCACACCCACAGCCTAGTGCCCTAGCAGAGTTGCTCCTTCCTCAGACTCGGGCAAGTTCTGTGCTTCCTGGAGCAAGCATGCGTCTGGTTCTTCACCAGAGACAGCAGCCAGGGACAGTGAAGCAGATGAGCCAGTAGGACAAACCACCCTACCCTGACTCTTTGTCACAGGGGTGTGGAGCCTGGGGTGGCACAGCTCAGGATGCAGCTTCTAGCTCTGACCTGCTAATTCCCAGGGTGCACTTTAGGTGTTGAAGAGTCAAGAACTTCCTTGTTAAACATATGACAGCCAAACACCCATGCGCACAGGCATCTCTGTGTGTAAATCCTACTCATGGCCACTTTGAACCTGAGTTGGCAGAGGACCTGGTTCTGGTTCAGACATCCTTTTAGGGACTGTGGAAATGTTTGATCAGTGCTGGCTGAGGTTTCAAAAGACATTCCTACCTTGAACAAGAACCCACACACTGGCTTCCATACTTGGAAGAACACGTGGGGGCTGCTTAAGGAGGCAAGAGGGGATCTGGGCCCTGTTTCCTTGGTTGGTTGTGGGTGGAGTGAGAGCAGCCATCCTCCCCACCTTTACATCCATACTCAGAGTACTTGGAAAGGTTGTTACTAAAGCGTCCTCTAACTCTGACAGCCCATGGCCTTTCATGCCAGGGCAAAGGGAGAGGCCTTGAGGAGCACCTAGCTCCTGTCCTCCAACGTACTACACAAGGATTCTCCCTAAATGTACCAGGTGGCCAATTTACCACACATTTTTGTCCCTGCAGAAATGAGGGACTAAATTGGGCTTGGCAGTTTCTGGGAGGCAGCCCTGCCTAGCTCAGGGCTAACCACCATCACTTCCTAATGTCCAGAGCACATCAGGCCACAGGTGGGGTCAGACCTGGGAGGTTGGCAGACTCAGCAGCCAGGAGGCCAGTCCTTGGACACTAGCCCACAGGCCACTTACTCTCTTACAGTCAGCCTGTCCTTGGCAGCTTCTCGCTCTTCTTGGCTGTACATTTGCTTTGAATCAATCGACCCATGTCTCTCTCCTCTTCCCAACCTTGGCCTTTTTTTTTTTTTTTTTTTAAAAAAAGACCATCAATATTCATGTAATAAGTTAAAAAACAGCACAAAAAGCTGACTCCCCACTTCCACCCCACAGGCCCTTTTCTCTTCCCTAGCCTGTGTGCAGTCCTGGCTCCCAGCCCACCCTGGGGCGCTGGGTCAATGCAGTCCTGTGTGCAGGCCTCACTGCCTGGCCGTTCCCACCCGCGGCCGCATTGGCAGCAGGCACTGCAGTGGTTGCTCCAGGGCCCCACCCCTGGGAGGCAGGAATAAAAGGCTGCTCTGCCTGCGGCACCCGCCACTCAGGACCTCAGGACGCTGTGGCCAGAGACCGGCGGAGGCCGTGGCAGGAGGTGAGACAGCCACGGACTGGGGACACTCAGGAAAAGCTGCTCTTCTCTTTTGAGGGAAGGGGGAGGATGATCGAGGGAGGCGGATGGGAGCTGAGTGGCCACTAGGAAGGCCCATTGGGGTAACTGGCAACTTTTCTAAGTCAGCAGCATTTCGTCTCAATATTGCTATTCCTGTCCATTTATTACCGCTTCTGCACGCTTGGCGACCTCTCGTTAGAAGCCACAGGCGCACGTTGCCTGTTATCAGGTCTGGAGGCCAGAATGGTTGCTGCCATTTTCCCAGAGGTACCACAAATAGCGCTTCTTCTCTGACTCTTTGAAGACCAAGTTTTGCTTCCCTGGGCAGAAAATGATGGAGAACCTAATGCTAGTCTGCCTCCTACCATAAATAAAAGGGGACCTCCCTCTGTCACTTCTTCCAGGCCTCTGGGCAAGTGGCTGCTTCTGGGCGTCCCAGTTTCCCTCAGTTAGAAATGCCAGGGCCCCTGTGTCTCCCTGGATACCACTAGGAAAGCACCTGACAATGGAGAAGGTCTTTACAAATAAATTATAAATTGGGTCAAACATATTGGGGCTTACTGGGTGTTTTAACTATCCTCAGTATTACAATTTTTCAAGGTAGGTAAAACCCATTCTTTGGAGGAGCCTCTTCTATTATATATGGTGTGTTTTCCAAAGAGTTAAAGCCCCAAACGGCTCTTGTTTTGATATAAATGGATTAATGCAGAGCGTTTCCAAAATGAAATAAGAAACATGAAGATTTATTTCCATTTCTCTTAAAGGAGAAGCTATACACCTTCAATCATGTCTTAAGTCAAAGGGAGGAATTTAACAGAAAAATGTTGAATTAATTTAAAAATTAATTAATTTTGATTATGATTATTAAAAAATCAACACACACTTTATAGAGTTTTCTAACATATAGAATATATATGTTATGCTTTTCCTTTTCAAAAATCCCATTAGTCATACTTTATAGAAAAATAATTTAACCTCCTCTCTCCCACATTATCTCAAACTCTAAAAAGCATCAGGATGATGCAAAAGTTTTTTGAGATTTTTTTTTTTTTTTAATTAGCAATTGCCGGGCCGGGGACCAGCAGGTAGCGTGGTGCTAAGGTGCTGGAAACTCCCACATGGCCGACCACAGTTCGACTCCTGGACTTGGTGGCTCGCTTTCTCACTTTCTCTGTCTTTCTCTGGTCAAATTTAAATAAATGAATGAATAAATAAAATTAAATAATTCTTTAAAAAGTTAGCAATTGAAATTTGAATGAAAATGTAAAGAAGTATAAGATGTCACAGACTTTAATTCATCTGAATTGGTCAATCTTTATATATCAGGTTTTTTGTGACTTAAGAGCAAAAAAAAGTACACTGATTTTTTTTTTCTTTTTTTGGAGAGGTTTTTGCTATAGGGCGCGTGCGCTCACCAGAAAGACAGACAGAGACAGAGAGACAGAAAGCGAGAAATCACCCCCCAGGCGGTGATCTCTTCTCTTCCATTCTCCTCTTGGGATCTTGGGCACGCATGCACACGTGCCCGGCGTGAGTTTAAGCCACCAGGTCACGGTCAACTTACATGGGAGTCCAGCGACATAAACATTATGCTAACTGCTGGTCCCAGTACACTGATTTTTAACACAGCGATTTTAACAAACATCAGGTCAGGAAAAAAATCTTCAATACTATTTCCTTTGGGAGATCATAAATAAATAAATTTTTAGACATTTTATTCCAAATTATTTTTAAGATGTACATGTATTCAAAGTGTGAATGATTTTTCAACAATATTTAATTTCAAAATATCTTTAAATATTATAATTACAGTTTAATTATTATATTAATAGTTAAGGTTATTATTTAACAATTAGAACTCAAGACCAGGGACCAGCAGGTGGCGTTGTGGTTAAGCTCTTGGACTCTCCCATGCTATCATACATTGTTCAAGTCGCAGACCTGGCAACTTGAAACATGCCAGGTGCGGTTCGTGCGTGCGTGCGCAAAATCCCAGGAAAAGAATGGAGTAGAAAGGATTGTGGCATAGTCATCCTCCCGGGGGGATGATTTCTCACTCTCTCTCTGTCTCTCTGTTTCTCCAGTGAGTGCATATGCCCTGTGATAAAAACCATAAACAAACAAATGAAAAACTCGAGACCAAAAGTTAAATGTCAGACCAATAAATGGCATGGTGGTTAAGTCACAGGATCCCACATGGCCAACTCCTCAGTTCAAGTCCTGGACCCAGCATCTTTAAAATCGTGCTTGGCCTGTATGCATGCCCCAAATTCTGGAGGAGAATGGAAGAGAAAAGATTACAGTACCTCCTCTGGGGGGGGGGTGATTTCTCATTTTCCCTCAATCTCTCTCCCTGGTAAGCATACATACCCTATACCAAGAAAAAAAAAAAAAGGTTGATAAAGGTCTGTTTGCGAAACAAAAGACAAACCGTCCTTCATAGAATGTGTCAAGTTCCTGGGGCTGACAGATTTCGCAGTTTGTAGGCCACAGAATAAGGTACCAAGTGAGAGAAGCAGCAATTTCTTACTTATTTTCTTTTAAATTTCATTTATTATTATTACTTTAAATTTCCTGTAGGGTATATGTGCTCACCAGAAAGAGATGGAGAGAGAGAGAGAGAAAGCAAGCTGCCAAGTTCAGTACTCAAACCATGGTCGACCATGTGGGAGTCCAGCACCTTCACCACCATGCCACCTGCTGGCCTTGGAATTTCTTACTTCTGTATGTGCAAAAAAACACTTCTCTTGGCACTTGTCCCATCACTTTAGGGTCTAATCTGCCACTCCTCTGTTCGTTTGAGGCCCTCTAGAAGTTCCACATACTGGGCAGTGGCTCAGATACAACCCTGCCCTACTCCCATGTCCATCTTCAGCCCATCCCTCTGTAGGGAACTCACTAGTTTAGTCATAGAACCTTACAATATGCTTTTATTTCTGTTAGATCAAGTTTCATTGTTACTGTTCCAAACAATTGTGCCAACTCTATTTTTCCAGATGAATTGTACCACTCTTTTTTAAAAAGAATTATTTTATTTAACTTTATCCATTTATTTATTTTAATTTGACCAGAGAGGGATAGAGTGAGAGAGAGAGAGAAAGCAAGCCGCCAGGTCAGGGACTCGAACCGCAGTCAGCCATGTGAGAGTCTAGCACCTTAACTACCACACCACCTGCAGGCCCTGTACTACTGTTTTTATCATACTCCTCACTCATCCAAAAAGAAAAAGAAATACCATTAGTATATATCTTTTAAAGTTTATTTATGGGGCCAGCAGGTGGTATGGTGGTTAAGGCACTGGACTCCTACGTGGCATATTGTGATTTGAGTCCTGAACCTGGTGCCTTGAAAATCACGCTGGATGCATGTGTGTACATGCCCCAAATCCCAGAGGATAATGGAGGAGTATAGATTGTGGCATGGCTACCCCCTTGGGGGGGGGCGATTTCTCTCTCCCCATCTTCAGCAAGCACATGTGCCCTATGACAAAACATTAAAAAAAAAAACAAAAAAAAGAAGTTTATTTATTGATCTATTCTATGTGGGAGAGTAAAAGAGACAGAGACAGCTCTCTCAACAAAGTCTCGACACCACGACCCATCCCTGAAATCATGAGCACACGTGTGCCTGGCATACTCAGGGAGGCCTCCAGAGGGTGCTGGCAACCTTCCCGCGGGAGTCTGCCTCGAGAGCATCTCACTTTTCTGCTGCCCGGCCGCAACCATTAATATATTTATTAAAAATGACTTTAATTTATATGTTAACTCAAAGGAAAATACATTCCTTCATTTATTTCCTTAGAATCTTTTGGAAGATTTTATTTTTTAAATTTTTCTTCCTAAACTTATTTTTAGACAATATGTTACTGCTATATGAATTTTTCTGCTATTTTTCTGTTTATTGATAGACTATAAGAATTCTATTGACTTTTGTATCCTTATTTTGCTCGCTTTGCTGCTTTCTGATTATTTCTAGCAGCTTGTGGGTGAGGCTCTGCTCTCCTACCCTCTCTCAGTGCGTTTTGGAGCAGAGCCTGCTACCTGGTAGGGAACCGGAATTCAGGGAACCGGAATCAGTTCCTGAATTCCCTCGCTGTGCTGCTTCTGCATTCTTACTTTAGTTTCTAACAACAATTCAACCAGAAGCCAGAGGACCAGGGAGCCCACAGGGACCAGGCAGGGAGGGGTGGTGGAACTAAGAAGCAGAAGGGATGATCTTGATAAATGTGCACACTCCCTGGATTCCTCTCCAGGCCCAGCCAACCTGCTCTAAGCCTGAAAAGAGAAATGAGTGAAGACTAGTCTTTCTTCCTTACCTAGGTTGACATCTGCGAAGAAAGCACATTAAATGTCTTATATACAAATGAGGCAAAAGCATGAGAAGGGCCCTTTCCTTTCCAGATCCGTAGGATGTCTGAGCTGGAGAAGGCCATGGTGGCCCTCATTGATGTTTTCCACCAGTATTCTGGAAGGGAAGGTGACAAGCACAAGCTGAAGAAATCTGAACTTAAGGAGCTCATTAACAATGAGCTGTCCCATTTTTTAGAGGTAAGTCTTGCTTTCTAAAATCGACAGTAGTCCATTCTCCTCTTTGCCTGTACTGTCTGTGTATTTTCTCTTCTGAGCTGTCCTAGAGGTGACCTCAGTTCTGTTTTGGGTCTCTCAGGTTGCTTCTGAAAGCTTTTCTGAGTAACCACACCCTCATGATGGAGACCAGCTTCGGTGGGCCCCATTGTTTCCATCTTTTGTCATCTGTCCATGTAAAGAACGTCATGCTACCTTGATGGTGAAGAAAAGGTTCCTAATAATCCTGAGCTTTCTCCAGACATCTAAGGATTTACAACCAATAATGAAGGCAGAGTGGGATGGAAAACATACTCAGAATTTAACTGGGGCCAAAATGAACCCATAAGACAAGTTAAAAATTAAATAAGCTTCTGTTTTTGGGAAAAGGATATAGGTTGATTTTAGCTAGGTGTTTAGTATTTACTATGGATATAAAATGAGCTAGATGTCCACTCTGCAAATGTTTCCTGAGCACTCAGTAATTCAGTGCTGCGAGGGACACAGTAACAGTAGGCCTCCATGTCAGGAGCACTCCATCTAGAATGTCAGTGAATGACCATGCCTACCCGACTGAGGTCTATACACATAGTTTGGGAGGCTGAGGCCTTGCAGGGGCTCTACCAGGTGAGATGTTAGTGAGGATCTGTTTTCAGTTTGGGCCCCTGATGCAGGCTGCTGTATGAGGGCTTCATGAAGTCCTCTCTGGCCCGTGATAGAAGCATGTCCTAATCTGTGTTAGGACTTACTTCCTAACCCATGTCTCCGCTCTCCTTGAATAGGCCTTTCGTTGCCTCTGTTTCCCACTGGCCTCATGACTTTTTGGCACCAAATGTTCCTGCACACTCAGAACCAAGGCTGGCACTGGGACAAGCAGTTAGCGTAATGGCTGTGTCGCTGGACTCCCATGTAGTCGACTGCAGTTTGAGTCCTGGACTCGGTGGCTTAAACTCACACCGGGCACGTGTGCGTGCGTGCCCAAGATCCTGAGAGGAGAATGGAGGAGAAAGGACTGTGGCATGGCCACCCCCCACCCGGGGGGTGATTTCTCACTTTCTATCACTTTCTATCTCTCTGTCTCTGTCTTTCTGGCGAGTGCATGCGCCCTATAGGAAAAACCTCTAAAAAAAAAAAAAAAAGAACCAACGCTGGCACAAGGCATGCTTTGAGCCTGAATGAAGTACTGATAGTGTACCCATGTGACACATGGCTCCTGTGACAAGTTTTCTGGGTCACTGAGGTGACCAACCATATGTAGGAGGAATGGCTAGTGAACCAATGTACTAACCAAGTGGGGATTCTGGGAAAAATACCAAGGCAGGGCCCCGCTGCACAGCAGGGGAGTCACTCCCCTGAGCTAGTTGTCTCATGGTGCAGGATATCAAGCCCTAGGTTCCTGCGACAAGGCCTGGAGGGCTGGCTGGTGTTCTCCCATCCTTACCTCACCCCACACACTCTATGGCTATGGATGGCACCACCAGAGTGAAGGAAACAGGCCTGCAGGCTTTCCTCACCCACATATACCTCACCCTCATTCCAGGTGGAGTGCTCATACAGAGCCAAGTGGGAAAAAGAGTACACGGAGTTAACAAATGCAGAACATGTGCTCAAGCATTATTTCAGAAATAAAGAAAAATTCATTTTGGGGGGACCAGCCAGTGGCACTGTGGATAAGGTGACTGGATCCCACATGGCCAGCTGTGCAATTCAAGTCCTGGACCCAGAGACTTGAAAAGCATGCCAGTTGCGTAACTGCAAAAAAAAAAAAAAATCCCAAGGAGAGCATGAAGGAAATGGAGGAAAGGGTGGCCAACCCCCTAGGGTGGTGTTGTCTTACTTTCCCTCTCTTTCTCTCTTTATCTCTGTTTCTCAGGCAAGTGCACATGCCCTACAGCAAATGTTTTAAAGAGTCATGAAAATAAAAATTTACCATAGGGTGCACCCATTCACCAGAGGAAGAAGAGAAGAAAGAAGAGAGAGAAAATATCCCCCAATGGGGAATGGTCATGCTACAATCCTTTTTCCTTCATTTCTCCATCTCGAGATTTTGTGCACACACAAAAATGTGCCTACTGTCTTTTTCACACTGAAGCTAGGGGCAGGATTCAAACCATGCAATCAGCTACATGGGATCTGGCTCCCTTAACGACCAGACCATGGACTGGCCCAAGAAAAATTTCAAAACACTAAAATCCACTGGAGAGACCAGCAGATGGAGTAATGGTTATGTCACTAGACTCCCACATAGTCAACTGCAGTTCAAGTCTCGAACTCAGCAGCTTCGAACTTATGCCCGGCACATGTGCCTGCATGCCCAGAATCCTGAGAGGAGAATAGAAGAGAAGGGATTGTGCAGTGGCCATCCTTTTCCACGGGAGGTGATTTCTCGCTTTCTGTCTCTGTCTTTCTCTGTCTTTCCACTTGAAAATCTCTCTTAAAAAAAAAACAATCTAGGGACCAGAAGATGGCCTAATGACTATGTCACTGGACTCCCATGTAGTTGGCCACGGTTTGAGTCACGGACCTGGTGGCTTAAACTCACGCCAGACGCGTGTGCATGTGTGCCCAAGATCCGGAGAGGAGAATGGAGAAGGGATTGCGGTGTGGCCATCCCCCTTGGGGGTGAGTTCTCACTTTCTGTCTCTCTGGCTCTCTCCTTCTGGTATGTGCACACGCCTTATAGCAAAACCTCTCAAAAAAAAAAAAAATACTAGAAGGGCTAGCCCCTTAGCTCAGCAGTTAAGGAAGCTATATTCTACATGGTCAATGGTGGTTCAAATCTCAGACTCAACAGCTTGAAAAACATCAAGTGCATGTGTCTGAGTGCCCAAAACCCTGCTAAAATAGACAAATGGGAGAAAATGAACTGTGGCATGACCATACCCTATTAGGAATTACTATCTCTCTCTCTCAGGAAAGCACATACCCCTTGGCAATTAGAAAAAGAAAAAGACAATCTACTGGAAGGTTTCACTAGATGGCCTTCCACACCCAGAAAACACATGAAAAACTTAGGAGTGCCCAAAGTTTATTGCTAATTTGAAGACCAGGCTGATTTACACGTAGTATTTTTTATTTTTTACTATGTGTTTGTTTCAAATATGATAATCACTTGTGATTTTTCTCCTCTTGGCTGTTCCATTAACTTTTATTTTATTATTATTATTATCTTTGATGAAAGGCTAGCTGATACCTCTAAATCCCCAGATTTAAGGGTTTTTTTTAGAGGTTTTTGCTGTAGGGTGCATGTGTTCCCCAGAAAGACACAGAGAGACAGAGAGACAGAAAGTGAGAACTCACCCCCAAGGGGGATGGCCACACCGCAATCCCTTCTCCATTCTCCTCTCAGGATCTTGGGCATGCACGCACACACACCCGGCGTGAGTTTTAAGCCACCAGGTCCGGGACTTGAACTGTGGTCACCTATGTGGGAGTCCAGTGACGTAATCATTATGTCATCTGCTGGTCCCAGATTTAATGTTTTTAACACATTGAACAGGAAAGAACTGAATTAGATGCCAAATACAATCAAGAGAACTTCACAATCACACCTAGAAGCTCTTCATAAACACGATATATACCAACTAAATAGACTTCGGTGAGGTTTCTGGCACTAGGAAAGGCCACGTGAATCAGACATAGACACTGTCTAGAGAGCCTAAGACTATTTTTTAAATTTTCACACCATGACTCTGTTACTCACCTGTGAGCACTGTGTTTCCTTTCTATTTAAAGAAACTAAGTGTGAAAGTGTTTTAAAGCCTGCTTTTTCCCATTTCAAACAATGGAAACTAATTTCCTATTAAATTATTGTACTATATTTATGATTTCCAAGAACAGATTACCAACATTAAATGGGAAAATATTTTATTATTTAACCCTTGGGCTCACATGATCCATAGAAAATATTGTAGGAAAAGGGATAGGAATGTTCAACACCGAGTAGTTGTCTTCTTCTTTCTTCTCTTCTTCTTTTCTTACATTTTTCTATTTGTCAAATATTTCCTCCCCTTTCACTTCATACTACCGTCCACAACCCACTCTTTACCAACCCCTTCCCCAACTCTTGCAGTCTCTAGTATCCACACCCATCTTCTCCACCACCACATCTTTAGAGCTCTCAACCTCTGACAAGACACTCAGTACAAATTGAGAGGAGATATACGATTGTATCTTTCAAAATCTGGTTTGCTTTGCTCAGCATTAAGTTTTTTATATTCACTCATTTTGAGTCAAATGTTAGGATTGCCCTCTTTTTTTAGAGAGGGAGGTTTTTGCTATCGGCCGCGCACACTCACCAGAGATACACAGAGAAGCAGAGAGACAGAAAGCAAGAAATCACCCCCCAGGGGGGATGGCCACACTGAAATCCCTTCTCTTTCATTCTCCTCTTGGGATTTTGGGCACGCACGTATATGTGCCTGGCGTGAGTTTTCAACCACTGGTCCAGGACTCAAACTGTGACTTAACCATTATGCCATCTGCTGGTCCCTTCATTGTTTTTTATAGCTTTGTAATATTCCATAGTATATATGTGCCACAGTTTTTCTATGTAGTCATCAGTTTTTGGACACTTAGGTTGGTTCCATGTTTTAGCAATGGTAAATAATGCTGCAAGAAACATGGATGTGCAAGTGTCTTTCTGACAGAGTTTTCCTATCCTCTGGGTAAATACTATTGTACAAAGTGGGATTATTGGGTGATATGGAAGTTCTACTTGTAGGTTTTTGAGAAACCTCCATATTATTTTCCACAGAGGTTGAACTAATTTACATTCCTACCAACAGTATAAGGGGCTCACTTTTCACTGTAGTCTTACCAGCAGTTGTCATTCTTTTTTTTAATCCTAGTCATTCTAACAGGAGTTAAATGGTATATTATCACGGTTTAATTTGCACTTATAAGAGACTTTGAACATTCTTCATATGCCTCTTGGTCATTTGTAAGTCTTCCTTGGAGAGTTGTCTATTCAATTATTTGCCCATTTTTAAATTGAATTCTTCTTCTTTTTTTTTTTTTAACGGACAAGCTGCTTGCGTTCCCTATATATTCTAGATATCAATCTCCTGTATGAGGAATGATTTGCAAGTATATTCTCCCATTCCAAGGGTTGTCTTTTTACTCTAATTAATCTGTAAAAAAAATTATTTTTTAAAAATTTGCCAGAGAGTATGTGCACTTGTGGGAGAAAGGCAGAGAGAGAGGAAAAGAAAGAGAAAGAAGGAACAGGGAAAGCAATGAAGCACCTCCATGGGGCATGGTCATGATACAATCCCTTTTCCTTCATTTCTCTCGCCTTTCAGGGTTTGGGGCATCCACACACATATGCCATATGTGTTTCAAGCCACCAGGTCCAGAACTTGAACCATGTAGTTGGCCATGTGGGATCCAGCCACCTTAATTACCAGGCCGTGGGCTGGCTCCCATTGAAGTAGCCCAGATCCTACTGGATCTAAAGGTGAAAGAAAAAGCACAGACCCCCCAGAGACATTTGCTTGGCCGACAGTCCCCTAGTCACAAGATAAATCTCTTCTGGGGTTTTTCATTTTAATTAAAAAAAATTTTTTTTGTTTCTGGAATTATTTTATTAAACTTTATTTATTTATCTATTTATTTTGACCTGAGAGGGACAGAATGAGAGAGCGAGAGAGCGAGCGAGAGAAAGGGAAAAAGCAAGCCACCAGGTCTAGGACTGGGAACTGAGTTAGCCACGTGGGAGTCCAGCATCCTTAATCACCACGCCACCTGCTGGTCCCAGTGTTTTTCACTTTATATCTTAGGTTATTTCTCATACAAATCACCTTAGTCACCTAAATTTTAATCACATTTTGATGATGCTTAATTCCATTTAAAAAACAAATTGAAGAATTTCTTTTATCTTTCTTAGGAAATCAAAGAGCAGGAAGTTGTGGACAAAGTCATGGAAACACTGGACAATGATGGCGACGGTGAATGTGATTTCCAGGAATTTATGGCCTTCGTTGCCATGGTTACCACTGCTTGTCATGAGTTCTTTGAACATGAGTAAGGGAGGAAGCAGCCACGCTGTTCCTGTACCGGAGATGAAGGCCATTCACAGAAGAGAGAGCAAGGCTTTCAGGCTAGTAGGAGCTGAGCTTTCCAGCCATGCTGTAGCTAATTAGGAAGCTTGATTTGCTTTGTGAGTGATAAATCGAACCATCTTTCCAAGAGCTGTTTTAAACAGGCCACATTTTTATTTCTGCTCTATTAGGCATATGTGTAAGCAGACAGGTCCCTGGGACTTGGAAATAATCATTTAGGCAAGTCAGTTCTCAGTCATGAAGTATATGCGCTACAGACCACCCGCTGAGAGGAATCCAAACCCAGAGAAAGCAAAACTGACTACCAAAAATTACTCTGGGTCATTCTTACGTTTTCCACTGCATTTAAATTTATTCATCATTAGTGCAAATAAAACCCAAAGTAGTCTGAAATCTGCTCTCCCACTCACCCACAAGAGCATGATCACATTTAGATCCCTTTTCCTCTGGTGAGCTGTGATTACTGAGTAAATATTTAATGCTAACAGTTCTCAAAGGAAAAATTGTATCATAAACAGCAAGTACTGACATTTTAACTAATCAGAACTGAGAATCAAAATTCTAATTCGTTAGAACTCTCCCAATATGATAATCTCTGGATCTGTGGGGGTCCCAGGGGCAGGAGGGCAGGGCTGGGCCGGGGCCAGGGTTCAGGCTTGTTGGTCCCAGCTGGGCTATGCAGCAGGAGCTTCACCTGGTGGGTTTCCTCTCCGCTGTGAACCTGGAAGCCGTCATCGCCCGTGGAGCAGGGTCTCCCCATGGCTCCGCATCCGCTGTGAAGTCCACTAGCTGAAGTTTACTCTTCTGTATTCGCGCATCCAAATAAATCAAGTGTCAAAGAATTCCACTTACAAGTGACAGATACTACAACTCAGTTCCAAGAAAATTCTAATTTTATCCACCGTCTTTTTCTGTTGCGTCTCTTTTAACATGGAACAAAAACCCATAAACTGAGTGATCGATTATTTTTGCATTAAATAAAAAGCACTGCAGTACTGCTTCTCAGCCCTTAAAGGTGAAGTAAACGAAATGCCCAATCGAAGTGCACAGCCGCACCACCCCTCAGACCTCCATCCCCAAGAAGATCCTGCCTGCCTGGGTGGACCAAACAGGGGCGGAGCACTGGCCTGGCTCAGTCACGTCCCCCCCACCCCCCCAACACACACACACACACGGAAGTGGGAGAGCAGGTGTCTGTGGGCTGCCCTGGTCCTGAAAGCTGGCGGTGAGGCCCTTGACCTGGGCTGCATGCAGCCGTGGTCAGCCCTTGCTTTTCGACTTGGCGGACTTGGCTTCCGTCCCAGGAATTTTTTAGGGCAATTTCACCCACAATAGAAGGGGATCAGGTGCTGCCCCGTGGAGCAAGGTGGCCGAGGCCTGGGCTGCCCCTCACCCTGTGGCCCCTACGTCAGCCTCAGGTGAACCTCTGGGCCAAGCCATGTGGGTGGGAGGGGCGGTGGCCGCAAAGGCTGGCCTGAGAAGGGGGTGACTTCGGGCTGGTGGAGCAAGGCCAGAGGTCGGAGCTGGGGGCGGGGGCGCCGGGGCCAGGGCGCTGGCCCAAGGTGAGGGCGTCCGCGCTCAAGTTCACTTCACCCTCGCCTAGCTTGGCGTGAGCCCTGCAGGTCAGACGTGCTCAGCCATCGTGCCGGCTTCTGGGGCAGTGCTGGGGACGCGTGCGGCCAGGGAGCACCCAGGGCTCGGCTGCCCTGGCTCAGCCTGTGCTCGTGCCATCTCTGCTCTTAGACTCCGGTCCTGCAGGACGTGGCAGGGAGGTCGCTGCCCAAGGCACCGCTAGCCCTCGGTTCCCAGCACCAGGCAGCACTGGGCAGCGCCCCCTCCCACCCGGACGTGGGCGAGGCCCTGGGGCACCGAAGTGCGGTTGGCTAGGTTCCTGCCTGCCTTTTGCTGCTTCCTGGGGAACAGAGGACAGTGAGGAGGGGTGAAAGTGGGTGGGTTTGGGCTCCTTGTGCCCTCCTGGCCCTGTGGAGTCTCTGAAGGCCTCTGGGCCAACTCTGGCTCTCTCCCTCTCCCACCTTTCTACACCGTCCCCTCTCCAGGGCCCCAGCACTGTCCCAGCCAGATCCTGTTCCCTTCGCAGCCCCAGCGGGACTGAACTTGCCCAGATCATGGGGACCTGCTGTGGAGATTTCCCTTGTGGGCAGTGTCTCTGCAGCATCATACCGGCAAGAACCTCATGGACTGTTCCCTCCAGTTCCACCCTGTTGTTTCCTCCAGTTCCACCCTGCTGTTCCCTTCAGTTTCCCCTACTGGCCTTCATGAGTGGGGGCCCTCAGCCCCTTGCCCAGAAGCTCCCAGTCTTAGAGAGGCCTTGACAAATCTTCCTAGGAAGTTCTAGGAGATCCCTGGGTTTGTTTGCGTTTGTTTCTGCTTTTGTTTGTTTTAAATTTAGGGATTGCATACTCCCCTGATACAGTCACAACTTGAATTCTCGTCACTGCAGATAGATGGAAATTTCTGGGCATCAGGGAGATACCTTCATCCCCATACAGCAAGAGCCCAGGCATCACCATGACTGTGCCAAGAACGGGCTGCCTCAGTCAGGCAGGAGAGGACAGGGAATGCCCAGCTCTTAGTCCTGAAGCCAAGGGATAGGGGCCTGCAGAGTTTTAGTATGTCCCACGTGGCCACGTCCACAAACACCTGCCAGGCAAGGCACTGTCACAGGCTCCTTTCACTGCAGTCGGTTTCTCCCTACAGGTATGATGCCAGCCTCTCGCTCAGGCGGGGATCTGCAGAGGGTGGGCGAGGCCTCCATGTCTCCAATACTGAGGACCCCTGAGTAGGGACATCACAGTCCTTGCTGAGGCTTACTGAAGTTGGGCCCTTCTGAGCTACAGCCTTGTCACTGAGGGGAAAAAAGTGTTGGGTGGTGTGCAGATAGCCCCTAAGGTGCCCCTTTTCATCTCCTCTCAGCATTCGCATTTTGTATAATCCCCTCCCCAAGTGTTCCTGACCTCAGGAGGCATCCATTAAGATAAAGTATGTTGGGGACCAGCAGATGGTGTAATGGTTATGTCACTGGACTCCCACGTAGTCGACTGCAGTTCAAGTCCTGGACTTGGCGGCTCAGACTCACAATGGGCACATGTGCACGCGTGCCCAAAATCCTGAGAGGAGAGTGGAGGAGAAGGGATTGCAGCATGACCATCGCCCTGGGGGGTGATTGCTCACTTTCTGCCTCTCTGTCTCTGTTTCTCTGGTAAATGCATGTGCCCTATACCAAAAATCTCTAAAAATAAATAAATAAAAGATTAAGTATGTTGTTAGCTATGGGCTTTTCGTAGCTGCCTTTTATTAGGTGTAGTAACTTCCCTTCTCTTCAAAAGGCGTTGGGTTGGGTTCTGTAAAAAAATTTTTTTTTTCTGTTCTTTCTTTCCTCCTTCCTTCCTTCCTTTCTTTCTTTCCTTTTTTTTTTATATAGCTTTTTCTCCAGGGTGCACATTCTCACCAAAGAATAGACGAAGAGAGAAAGAGAAAGTGAGAAATCACCCCCATTTTCAATGTAAATTGGTTTACCTACTGTGGAAAACAATATGGAGGTTCCTCAAAGATCTACAAATAGAACTACCATTTGATCCAGCAATCCCACTTCTGGGTATCTACCGAAAGGACAGGAGAATGCTCAGTCGAAAAAGTGCTTGCACATCAATGTTTATTTATTTATTTATTTGTTTCCATTTGTTGTTATTGTTGTTGTTGTTATTTTGACCAGAGAGAGACAGAGAAAGAGAGAAAGGGAAGCAAGCCACCAGGGTTAGGACTCGAACTGCAGTCAGCCATGTGGGAATCCAACACCTTTAACCACTATGCTACCTGCCACAGCACATCAATGTTTACTGTGGCATTATTCACGATTGCTAAGACATGGAACCAACCCAAATGTCCACAAACAGATGGATGGATTGAAAAAAATGTGGCACAGGGACCAGTAGTTAGCATAATGGCTATGTTGAACTCCCATGTAGTCGACCGTGGTTCAAGTCCTGGATCCGGTGGTTTAAAAATCACGCTGGGCATGTGTGCATGCATGCCCAAGATCCCGAGAGGAGAATGGAGAAGGGATTGCGGTGTGGCCACCCCCCCTGGGAGGTGATTTCTCACTTTCTGTATCTCTGTCTCTCTCTCTGGTGAGCACATATGCCCTTTAGCAAAAACCTCTCCAAAAAAAGTGTGGCACATATACTCTGTGGAATACTATTCAGCCATAAACAAATAAGACCCTGGCATTTGATAGCAAGTGGACGAATATGCAAGATCTATTGCTGAGTGAATCAAGTCAGTCTATGAAAGAAAGATATTCTATGTATCCACTTAATATATACCAACTATCTGCACTCTGGTAGAGATGGAAATATTGGAGGACATAAGAGCAGTGAAAATAGTTATGGACACTGAAGACAATGTGGAATGGGGGAGAAGAAGGGAAGAATATATAGAAGGGAATCAGGGAGGAAAAATAGGAAGGCATGACATTTGTGGGACACAAAAATGGTTTATTACCTATTGATGATAACATGTTTAGTATTCTCAACGACTGGTGTGAGAAGTATTTCATGTTGGGTAAGTTCTCTTTACAAGCCAAATGATGTATAGTGATAAAATGTTTAAAAAAATAAGAATAAAAATAAATCACCCCCATTCTCACAGGAAGAATGGGCACACCCTAATCCCTTTTCCAGTCTCCTCTTGGGATTTTGGGTATATACGTACACACACCCAGCCTGATTTTTAAGCCACTGGGTCCGGGACTTGAGCTGCACAGTTGGCCATGTGGGCTCTAGTGCTTTAACCTCCATGCCACCTGCTGGTTCAGTCCAAAGCTTTTTCTGTGTTTGTTGAGATGATCACATTTTTAAAAAATTAAAAATAATTAACAAATCATTATTTATTATTATTATTACTTTAAAGTTTCTATAGGGCTTGTACACTCACCAGAGAGAGAGAGAGAAAGTGAGAAAGCAAGCCACCAGGTTTTGAACAGCAATCAGCCATGTGGGAGTCCAGTATCTCAACCACCACACCACTGCTGGCCCCTTGTTTTTTAATTCTATTGATTCAGTATTTTGATTGATTTTCAGATGTTAAAATTGCCTTGCGTTCCTGTAATAAATCCCTCTTGTTTTAGTCCATTTTCATGTTGTAAAGAACAGTATCACAGACTAGGTAATTTACACACAATAAAGGTTTATTCAGATCATAGTCTTGGAAACCCAAGGTCAAGGGGTCACATCTGGTGAGGGTCTTCTTGTAGAAAGGTCCCGAAGTGGTGTGGGACTTCACACAATGAGTGGCCGTGTGTGGCGGTTCTGATCTGACTCCCTCTTTTAGAAAGTCACCGGGATTTGATCATGGGAGCTCCACCCAGATGATTTTTTGTAATCCTAATCATCTCCCTTAGGCTTCATTTTTCAATACCATAGTCAGATTAAGTTTCTACCCTCTTAATACTATCACAATAGCGACCAAATTTTAAACATGAATTCAAGGGGTACAATCAAGCCATAGTACTTTTATCATGTGTTACTGGATTTGATTTATTAGTATTTTGTTGAGCATTTTTCTGTCCATATTCATAAGAGACATTGGTCCGTAGTTTTCTTGTCATGTCTGTAAGTAATACTGACCGTGTAAAATGAGTGTTCTCTTCTAGTTTTTGGAAGGATTTGTGAATAGTATTCATTTGTCTTTAAGTATTTTTAAAATAACGAATTTTATTTATCATTATTAATATTTTATAATTTGCTATAGGGCACATGCACTCATCAAAGAGAGACATATAGACAAGAACCAGCAGTTAGCGTAATGGCTATGTCGCTGGACTCCCACGTAGTCGACCACAGTTCGCGTCCCGGACCTGGTGGCTTAAAACTTACGCCAGGCGCATGTGCGTGCATGCCCAAGATCCCGAGAGGAGAATGGAGGAGAAGGGAT